CCCACAGAGACCCCCCCTCCCCACAGAGCTCCCCCCCACAGAGCCCACCCCCCCCCCCCCCACAGAGCTCCCCCCCCCCCCCCCCATGGAGCCCCCCTCCCCCACAGAGCCCCCCCCCCCCCCCCCCCACAGAGTCTTACCTGGACCACACATCTGATACTTACTCAGTCAGCAGCTGACTAAGATAGACTCTAAGAAAAGAACTTTAAACTTGAAGTATGGTCCTGAGCACAGCATTATTTTGTATATCCTGGATTGTGGACAGTACGTCATAAGATTTAACAAAGTATTCTGAATTTTTGGTTGTTTGATTTCGATTTCACAGAATTTGTTGCAAATGATATATACAAAATTGATCGACTTTTGATTTTATTTTGCTCATAAAATATGGTACCTTGGAGGTTCTTCATGGACGGTCGACGGACATTATTAGAGTACTGACAAATAGAGTCGTGCATAACTGTTCCTACTTGCAATAAAGTCCGTCCTAGTAGGGCCTTGAAAGTATTAGGGCTTAATTTGTTTTACTACTTACGTCCCTGAGTTATTATTTTTAAGGTATATTGTGTTGTATTTGATATTTAAATTGTTCGATTTATTCAGTATTTTATGAGAACTGATATTACGTGTCTCATTTCAACCAAGAATGAAATAAATTTCAAGGTATGTTCTTATCTCAGATTAATAAAAAAACAAAAAGCGCACAGAGACTCAAACGTTAAAGACGGATCTGTTTCATCTAATCCTGGACCAGGCAAAAGTCCTGCTCACATTGGGACGTCCGCTCGGTTTCTCGATGTAATCCGACTTATATGGTCCTAAATAACACTAATTAATCGGGTACACTTTTTCACCAGTGGGGCATTTCTCGGAATCACGCCCTTTTTGACCGCACCCATATCGCGACCCCCCACTATAAATTATCTCGGCTTCTGATTGAGATACAGACCTCAGGCATGAACCAAAATGTGCCCAGGATGCATGTTTATATTAGTGCTATGAAGATACTTAAGGCCTAAGAGACTTATTTTTTGAGAAATCGCCAAAAATCCGATTTTACTATATAACAGCCTCGCAAGTAACAATTATTACATTTATTTCAAGATATCATAGCTTCTGATTGGAGCTAAGCGCTCATCTTGGGCATTAAAATGGTCAGAATCATCATATTAAGTGGGGTAGAGCATGCAGCAATAGCAGCAAATCTGGGGAAACTTGGTGGACATTGACTTTTTTCACACAATTTGAGTATGTTGACTTCAACATTATGTTGCAGCTCATTGTGGTTAATCTCAATGTTGGAGTGATGTTTTTCTGGTGCACAAAACACTACAGTACGGTTATGTTGAATAATTGTGGTTAATGGGTCATCTATGTGGCCACTATGGTGGTTAAAATACCAGTTTTAGGGTTAACCACCATTTTGAGATATGATATTATGAACTGAGTAGTCATTATATTGAGATCATATCATGGTGCAACTATCACAAAAGTTTTCAAACCTCATGGGGGTATTTTGTGGTCCTAATGGTGGTTAAATTGAAGATGAACGGTGAGCTATAAATATTGCTCTGATTATAGATGTATAGTGGTGGTTGTTCATTTGTGCATGGATGATAATTTTTTATCACAAATGTGCAATTTAATAGTATGGTTGATTTGAGGTGGTTAATATTCGTAAAAAGTGCTAAAAAGATGGTTAAAATGTCAAAATTTGTTGTTAACCACCAATCAAAACATTATTAATGATTTTAGTCAACATTTTATGGTCAACAAAGGACATTTGAAGGGTCTTGATAAAACTTATCAAGAAATGTTGTCATAAAAGTGGTTAAAAGGGCTATATTACTTGCTAGGCTGTTGAACAAGGCATCTATTAAAGTGAAAATTAACCACAATATGAACTTCAGATAATGGTTTGCTATCCAAATGAGTGTATATTTGTTTGCAAATGCATAATTGACCCCAAGTTCATGCATTCCGATCAATGTGCAGCTAAGGTGGTTAAAATGTCTCGAAAATACCATATATTTGCACTAATTAACCATTTTTAGAGCACATATTAGCTTTGTAAAGCTATAGCTGGCCATGCTACATTATCTAGATACACATAACTACCTGCTCATTTATATGACTAGAAAGATTGCTGAGTCCTGTGTTGCGTCCATCATGGTTAATAAAGGTATTAAATTGACCAAAATCAGTGTTTTTGGTCGTTTTAACCGCCATACGGCCACACATTTTGTTGCATTATCTTTAAAATCACGTATTCTCCTTCAACTATCTCTCATAATCAAATATCAAAACAAAATAAGGCACCAAAAGGTCAGATTGTGCTGAACAATGGTTAATTTGTGATGGCTTCTGTTGACCGAAGGTCCAAAATCAACATGTTTTAACCACATTATGGCCACATCTAAGGTTTTATGGTATTGGGACCATAGCCAAAAGTTTTGGGCACCTGGATGGTGTACTCTGCTTTTGGAATTATGGTGATATCTCAATGCTGTGCCATTCCAGGTGGTTAAGTACGCGCGCGCGCGCGCACGCGTACACTTTTGGGGTTTTTTTGATGTACCACAGTTGGTGGTTAACCGTTTTACATTACACCCTCACTAAAAGTATTGGGCACTCTAGTGGTGACATAATATATAAAGAAATTAAGCATAAACTAAATATGTTGGCCTGCAGATGGTTAAGTATGCGCGCGCGCGCACGCGTACACTGTAACATAAACACATATAAACCACTCCACAGACCACATTTATTAACCTTTTTAATTTCTTTCTTCAACTATGTGTCAATGAACCGTTTCTGTTCAATAATGACCATCAATTTTAACTGTAACACTCATATCTTCAGTGTAGTAAGGGTTTGAGTGTTAGAAGTACAAAAAAATGTCCACTAACAAATCAGTCATATTTCGACTACTTAACCACCTAACTCAGCACCAAAATGTTCTGGGATTTATTTCGTTGCACTATCATGAAGCTATGACATTTTTGGACCTATGTAAATATTCAGATTACTAGAATTCATAATTTGTGATTTTTAAGGGGTGGTCAAATGCTTCAAAGTGGTGTATTTCAAAGTTTCCCCAGATTTGCTGCTATTGCTGCATGGTTTTAAAGTCTTGAGACTTCAGGTTGTTGAGTTATTAGGTCAGATCCCATTTTTATGCTCTCGCCAGTAGCGATTGATGCACTTATTTCAAGATATGATGATTCTGACCATTTCAATGCCCAAGATGAACGCTTAGCTCCAATCAGAAGCTGAGATATCTTGAAATAAGTGCATCAATCGCTACTCGCGAGAGCGTAAAAATGGGATCTGACCTAATAACTCAACAACCTTAAGTCTCAAGACTTTAAAACTATGCTCTACCCCACTCAATGCGATGATTCTGACCATTCCAATGCCCAAGATGAACGCTTAGCTCCAATCAGAAGCTGAGATATCTTGAAATAAGTGCATCAATCGCTACTCGCGAGAGCGTAAAAATGGGATCTGACCTAATAACTCAACAACCTGAAGTCTAAAGACTTTAAAACTATGCTCTACCCCACTCAATGTGATGATTCTGACCATTTCAATGCCCAAGATGAACGCTTAGCTCCAATCAGAAGCTGAGATATCTTGAAATAAGTGCATCAATCGCTACTCGTGAGAGCATAAAAATGGGATCTGACCTAATAACTCAACAACCTGAAGTCTCAAGAATTTAAAACCATGCTCTACCCCACTCAATATGATGATTTTGACCATTTTAATGCCCAAGATGAGCGCTTAGCTCCAATCAGAAGCTGAGATATCTTGAAATAAGTGTAATAATTGTTACTGTGAGACTGTTATATAGTAAAATCGGACTTTTGGCGATTTCTCAAAAACTAAGTCTCTTAACATGCACCTTAGACACATTTTGGTATATGTTTAAGGTCTGTATCTCAATCAGAAGCTGAGATAATCTATGGTGGGGTCGCGAAATGGGCGCGGTCAAAAAGGGCGTGATTCCGAGAAATGCCCCACTGGTGATAAAGTGTACCCGAGTAATTAGTGTTATTTAGGACCATTATATAGTATAGATTTCGCCACTGGCCAGTTTTAAATTATTAAGTTATTAATATTATTGATTAGATTGGGTATTAATTGTTTTGAATTCTATGTCCATTGAGCGATTCGAAAAATTATACCATTAATTTGTTTGTAGATTTGGTTGTTAAAAGAATGGTATTACATTTGCTCGATTTCAATTAATTTCATGGCAATCTCATTTTGTTTTTGATGATAAGTACGGAAAGCTAAATGTTTGTTTGATCCTCGGTTATTTTAACATTGTGTCTGTGATAACACACTGCAAAACGGAATAGAAACTAAATTTTTTCAATCCTAGTTGATCAGTATAAAATCACATTTGTAATCCGTTCAGTAGATTTTTACCAAATGCATGTTGCATAATAATATATAATTCACATCGAGTTCAATCCATGTTTAACCGTTCTCCTATCAATTTCATGTTCTTGTACTTAGAGTTCTCTTGGAATTCTCAAATTGCTTGTTTTAATTTGTCGTGTAGATATCAAGTTAATATCAGAAAAAAAAGTCGCTGGCTGTAAAATTGCCCATGCTCTATATTAATATATATAACACAAAGAAAACTGTCGATCTTCGGCTGATCTCATAATCTTTGTTCAACTCGTCGATAATAAAACCTTATCGTCAGTTCCAACTTCTAACAGACAGCAAAATTTTAAGCCACTTGATGTCACACTTACATATTGAATAAATAAGAAGTTTTTCGACCTAAGTTTTGTGTTGTAGCTCAAGCACCCATCTATGAGTAATCTCTGCCCTGTACGTTTGTATTGGGTTGGAATCTACTTGGCATTCACCTGATGCTAGCCTAATGCAACCCATTCAGTGTAACGATATTCTTCTCTATAAGCAGCCGCTGCACTGTATAGTGTATAATTAACCACTGTTTAAACTATGTACTAACAGTTCAAATAATTTGTAGTGCTACATCAAAATTAGTAGTTTCTATTTCAAATTCAATTTTCCAAAGGCAAAGTACATACCACTACCAGTTGAGAATGGGGATTGAGGAGTTGTGTTCGGATAAAAGAGGTTGATTGCACTGATACAATCTAACCTAACCGCCAATATCTCGGATTTTCAGACCCCCCTCTCCCCCCCCCCCCCCCCCCCCCCACTAATTTTGAAGACTCCCCTCCCCTCTAATTATGAAGACCCCCCCCCCCCCTCCCGGACGTCCTAAGTAGATTTTACTTACTAGTTATATGAACACTCAGGCTTGTTACAAATTGGCCAAACGTCATCTTCAAACAAAATGGTTTATGTAAACATATATCGTGTCATCAAACTTAGGTTTATTGCACTGATACAATCAAATCTCGCTTTAATTTGTATGCAGGGAGCAGTTTGTGCTGCATACTATTTCATGCCATTTATATCATTAAAACAGTGAAGAGGTCTAGTTACATGGGTATTCGTTCAATCCATATCTGTTTAGACTTAGAGGACATCTACTGAGGACGTCCGCCAATATCACGGATTTTCAGACCCCCTCCCCTAATTTGAAGACCCCCCTCCCCCTAATTATGAAGACCCCACTCCCGGACGTACTAAGTAGATTTTACTTACTAGTTATATCTTTATATGAACACTCAGGCATGTTATAAATTGCCTAAACGTCATCTTCAAACAAAATAGTTTATGTAATCATATATCGTGTCATCAAACTTAAACGATTCCTCAGAATATTACACAACTAAAAACTATCCTCGTTGATACTTGGTGATAACTTACAATAACTACTTACGTTGAAGCCGTCAACGTGAAACAATGAGCAGTAAGATAAGATAAACATTTTCATTCACATGGAATTTTAGTGAACTTAACTTTTACGGTGGTGACGTAGATTTAATTCTCTAATGACATGTTCAGAAATGCGAAATTATCTTTTTTTTGTCGTACTATACACGAAGAAGCTTTGTTTTAGAATTTCGCAGAAAAGTCTCGCCTAGAAGTAGATCGTGTCTTTTAACTACTTTAGTTGCAACGTATTTCAGGAACTGGCAGAGTAACCATCGCTTTATCAAATTCTTCTGACTTTGATACGATATCATCATTTTGATTTAGAATCTCAAAGGAATTTATACTCGTCCATCTCAAAAATTATAAATCTATCTAAGATTCATAGCATTTTGTAACGTTTCAGTTGGATACTTAAAAATTGTGTAAACGTTCAACTTAAAGCAATTGGCTGATCTGAATATTTCAGTAAAAATGTTTATGTAGCGACCAGCCTATCATGAAGATAACAACAATTATCTTAACGGCTCTTTTGTGTTTACCCATTCAAGGTAAATGTTGTATTGCACCACCTTACAACAGAATCATTATTTACTGTTCTATAAAGTCATTACTACTGACTGTATGCATATGATATTGACCAGAATTAATAGGCTATATGTGACAATCAAATAAATTATAGCTATAATTATAGATACTGCAATATTATTAGTACTATTACTAAGTGCTAAAACATTATATAATTTATCGTGGTTATATTTCAGGTGACATTTTACCTGCAGTAGATAACGAGATAACACCTGTATCCGTCTCTTTATCATCAACGCTTAGCTCTAGTTATGTGGCAACTAATGGCATAGACAAGAATTTAGGCACAAACGCTCATACAGCATCATATGACTCTGACCCCTGGTTTAAAGCTAAGCTAGGAAAGACCTACTGTGTAGAGGAAGTGCACCATTACACCACACATCAACACGCTTACCCGTATAACAAGCACATATGCTCGAGAGATGTGTGTACCTGTATAAGTGGTCACTACTGCACTAACTATCCCACTTGGTGGCCCGTGTCAGTGTACTCTGAGGATGGAACAGTACCTGACAACGTTCCTTCTGATTGTAAGACTGGAGACACAGTTGTTATTAGAGGGGGTTCTTATGGATATGTCTACGTATATGAGATAGTTATCATCGGAAGAGATATAGTGCTCATCAGTCTAGGTACAACTTTATACCATAGACCAATTTCTATCAATTATTTTCCTCGATTCTAAACATTATGACACAAAAGATTTTGTAAATATTGTGTTCATAAGATATTGATGAACAAAATTAATTCATAAATGAATGTTATTACCCTCTCTCCAATATGAAATTCTCATGAAATACACCCGTCATACTCATAACATGTACATTTTATGGTAAAGTTACAAGGGCGATTTTAGCGGTGTAGATTACTTTGCCTTCGGTTGATGGCGTCAAAACACTGTCAATTATTATTATTTTAAGTTGCTCCTATGCATCAATTCTAAAACAAACTTTTCAAATAAGATGTTGTTTTTATAACATTTGTTAAGTGGGTAGCTACGTCTAAAGGATAAAAAATGTTTCAAACAAACTTGAAATGAAGGCAATTTCAATTTACGCGTACGTGAATAAATAAATGCAATGTTTAAATCATGCGAACGATATAGATTGCACAATTTGTAAACGTACCATTACCAAAACTTACTTCAGACGTTGAATCAGTTAACAAAGAAGTAAAGAAAGGCTCCACAACAACAATATCCTGTGTTATCATCGGAATTATTGAAACAGCAACAGTAACTTGGCGGACTAGTACGGGACCAGTTCCAGCTGAAAAGTTCACCCCTGTCCAAGGAAGCTTCTCCGGAGGGACACAGACATCAACTCTTGCTGTAGACGGAACTCTTGTCAATAAAGATACTGCCTACACTTGCAGAGTCACTTCCGGTTCTTTACCTGATTCCAGCCACTCGGATACCACCGTCAATCTTAACGTTTATGGTATTAGTGCTTTTCATGCAACAAGTAAAACAAATCCTTTATGTCATGTTTCCAGGGTTTGGACTGGAATTTCCCGCTTAAAGAACCTCCATCACGTTACATTACATAATTTTCTGAAACATATATTACATTTACAATAAATTATGCAATATCATAACATTACAATCAACAAAATAAATTTAATCGCAGAATCTCAAATGCAAATAATCGTAAACTAAACACAAAAAACAAATTAAACATGCAATAAATGAATTTACGAATGCGCATCTTTTGTCAACTTACTCCTTCATAAAATTAATTTTTGACAAAAAATATGTTCTTTAAACTCCAACTGAAGTTCTTTTGCAATGTAGTTTTTTTGTATTTATACGATTTTTTTAATTTTTTAAAATTTGAAAATTCAATTAATTATTATATATAAATCAAGCGTTACATTTCAGCCATGCAAAATTACAATGACATATTTTGATAAACTAATTGATAAATGGAACTGCAATATAAGTTGCTTAATGTTTGGCCGGATGACAACTAACTGAAAGAGAAAAATAAACTTGATTACATAATAATTAATTCGGCTGAACCAACACATAGCAAGAGCCACATTAACATTGGGGCCGTCTAAAATATATTACAATCAACTTTCAATTTAACTCAATATCATCACGACGAAATACAATTATCACACGATAGTAATAATTGCACAATTTGTAAATGTACCATTACCAAAACTTACTTCAGACGTTGAATCAGTTAACAAAGAAGTAAAGAAAGGCTCCACAACAACAATATCCTGTGTTATCATCGGAATTATTGAAACAGCAACCGTAACTTGGCGGACTAGTACAGGACCAGTTCCAGCTGAAAAGTTCACCCTTGTCCAAGGAAGCTTCTCCGGAGGGACACAGACATCAACTCTTGCTGTAGACGGAACTCTTGTCAATGAAGATACTGCCTACACTTGCAGAATAACTTCCGGATCTTTACCTGATTCCAGCCACTCGGATACAACCGTCAATTTAAACGTTTATGGTATGTTCTTTAAACTCCAACTGAAGTTCTTTTGCAATGTAGTTGTTTTGTATTTATACGATTTTATATATTACAATCAACTTTCAATTTAACTCAATATCATCACGACGAAATACAATTATCACACGATAGTCATAATTGCACAATTTGTAAATGTACCATTACCAAAACTTACTTCAGACGTTGAATCGGTAAACAAAGAAGTAAAGAAAGGCTCTGCAACAACAATATCCTGTGTTATCATCGGAATAACTGAAACAGCAACAGTAACTTGGCGGACTAGTACGGGACCAGTTCCAGCTGAAAAGTTTACCTCTGTCCAAGGAAGCGTCTCCGGAGGGACACAGACATCAACTCTTGCTGTAGACGGAACTCTTGTCAATGAAGATACTGCCTACACTTGCAGAATAACTTCCGGATCTTTGCCTGATTCCAGCCACTCGGATACCACTGTCAATCTAAACGTTTATGGTATGTTCTTTAAACTCCAACTGAAGTTCTTTTGCAATGTAGTTTTTTTTTGTATTTATACGATTTTATATATTACAATCAACTTTCAATTTAACTCAATGTCATCACGACGAAATACAATTATCACACGATAGTCACAATTGCACAATTTGTAAATGTACCATTACCAAAACTTACTTCAGACGTTGAATCGGTAAACAAAGAAGTAAAGAAAGGCTCTGCAACAACAATATCCTGTGTTATCATCGGAATTATTGAAACAGCAACAGTAACTTGGCGGACTAGTACAGGAGCAGTTCCAGCTGAAAAGTTCACCCCTGTCCAAGGAAGCTTCTCCGGAAGGACACAGACATCAACTCTTGCTGTAGACGGAACTCTTGTCAATGAAGATACTGCCTACACTTGCAGAATAACTTCCGGATCTTTACCTGATTCCAGCCACTCGGATACCACCGTCAATCTAAACGTTTATGGTATGTTCTTTAAACTCCAACTGAAGCAATTTTGCAATGTAGTTGTTTTGTATTTATACAATTTTATATATTACAATCAACTTTCAATTTAAATTATTTTCATGACGACGAAATACGATTATCACACGAGTGTTATAAATTGTAAAATTTGTCAATGTACCATTACCAAAACTTACTT